AAGTTTTGCAGAAATGGCTTGTAATTGCCTCCTAGGTATGAGAAAGTGATTAGCCCAAGGCCTCCCAGCTGGCTTGGCGCTAGAATTCACAGTCGCCCTGTTGGAGCCTGATGCCTTAGCTGCTGACCTAAACTGGTGTAGTTACAGGTTTCACTTTCACAGTAAATAGGGATTCTTTGGGGGAAATGGAGGTGTAATCTCTATCAGGAATCTCTGTCCCTTCCTGAACAGCCACATCTTGACATCTCCTGGAAATGGAGAAGAGGCCACTCCCACCCGTGGGCCAGGTTTACCCTAGAGCAGTGTTTCTCAACCTTGACAATTTTAAGGCATGTGGACTTCAACTCCCAGAATTCCACAGCCAGCAACGCTGGCTGTGGAATTCTGGGAGTTGAAGTCCACATGCCTTAAAATTGTCAAGGTTGAGAAACACTGCCCTAGAGTTTACCTCTCCCCAGAACACCTGCTCCACCCCCCTCCATCCTCCCTTGTTAGGCGAGGAGCCTCAACAGGCAACTTTTGCCCCAAGCAACGCAGGGCATTATGGGGAGTTAGCGGTGCCTTAAATTGCTGTTGGAAACCAACTGGCAGTGGACCAGCAACATGGGAAGGCAAGGCAGGTTCCTGTTGCTGCCCAAGGGGTGCGTGTGTGTTCCAAGAGCAAGTTACAGCAACATCACTGCAGGTGACCTGAGCTGCTCCTGTGACAGGAATGGCTGCAATCAACACACAGGAAAGCTGGAACAAAGCCTTTCTGTCCAGGGCTCCTAATTATTTTATCAGTACAAGTCACAGGGTCATAACTCTATCCGGAGACAAAAGTGCTGTTGCAGATGCAGTATTCTGAATAAACCTTACATGGTTGAAGTTTGAGTCCCTTTCCTCATAGACACACGCCTGCCTCTTGGCCCAGCATGCATAATCAGGTATCCTCGGCATTCAGATGACCCTCCCACCACTCCAGTGGATTGCCTCATTCTCCCCAACCTTTGGCAACAGTTCAGGAAGAGGATTAATACATGGGGCACCCCAACCTTTCCTTCCCCGTAACCGTTCTTTGGCATCTTCATGGGCAACCAGAAGGATACCATAGTCAACAGCACCCACAGGGCGGAGGGTCCCCTCATCCAAAGCCCCTCACAAAAGGGAAACCAGTACTTGGGTGCGCAGATTCTGGTCCGTTGCAAGGATCTTGGGCTAAGGGGCTGGGCAGTACCAAGGGCAGGGGGAAAGCAGATGGCCCTGCAGCCGCCACCACCACTTGCCAAAATCAGCCCTGAATCTTTCCAGTTTCTCCTTGGAGAACCCCGTCAGTAGGAGAAGCTGAAGAAGGAACAAGGAGGCCATCTGGGCTTCTCAAGTTAGCTTTAGGGTAGCTTTAATGTTGACAATAAATCAATTTTCATGCAGGCTACCTGACTTAGTGAAGGCCTGTGAATAACCAGCCACTTTTCTCTGCATCTTGTACAAATGAAAAAGAGTAGTCCTGCTTCCATCCGCCTTGGGAAGAAGCAGCCCACAGAAAGACCAGCAAAATTGCCTGCCGCCATTGCCACCGTCTTCCAAGTCCAAACACACACCAGGGTCCTCTCCTTCCCATTGCAGCAGGTCAAGAGGAACGGAGCCCTCAACTTCTGACGCACTCCCAACGTCGCAGCAAGAGGAGCTGTCCAAGGGGCTCCCAATGGGCACAGCCAGCGATGTGCTTCTGGCTGAAGAGGCTGCTGCTGCTGTGCAGATCCCAAGGCACCTTGCCCCTCTGCCCGCAGGCAGCTGGGAGCAGGGCTGGCCTGCCTCTTCCAGACCACAGAGGCCTCTGGGGTGCCCGTCAGGCACTGACTGTCCACCAGAGTGACTATGCTGGCACCTCCTGAAGCAGCAGGTTCTTTTTGTAACAATCCAGGCTACAAAGGGGGATCCCAGTGCGGGAACAGGAGTACCGCTTTAGGTTGGGGCAGCCGATGACCCCACATGGCATGGGGGGAGGCATGACCCTCGGGAGGGAGGGCAACACAGGCAGGGAAGTCCCAGGTGGGAAGGAGACGGTGATCCCAGAGGCAGCGCTGCGGTAGCTCACGGTGGGGACTGCTGTGCCTTTGGCCTTGCGCTCACGCAGCGTCTTCACTTTGGCCTTGCTGGTCTTGGTGAGGCGCTCGATGGTTTGATTCTTGTTCTCCTCGGCCTTTTTGGCAGCCTGGAGCCGCCGTTTACGAGCCCGTTCCTCCCGCTTCACCAGCATCTCCTCCGTCAGCTCCTTGGCCTTGTATCCCATGGGCAGCTCCAGCAAGGGCTGGCCCTGCTGTTTGTGCAAGAGGGCTTTCTGCGGAGAGAAAGAGGAGAAGGGACAGCTGACAACACCCGTCTGGAGGCAGAGGGAAGAGGAAGGCCTGGGCACCTTATGGCACCAGCAACAGCCAGGAGCCGCCCGGGATATTGTGCCGTCTCAACGAAGGGCCTCCCCTAAAGCCATCTTGAGACGGTAGTGGTCCTCCTTGGCTGTGTACTCTGCACCCTCACCTCTGGGCCCAATCCAGATTGGGCGGTCCCTCTGCTCTTAGAACTGGCAACTAGGATCGTGGGGCTGAGGGCAGCGGGATAGATCGAATGTGGACAGAAGGGTCCTAAAGTTCAGAAGGAAGGAGGCTGACCTCCTACCTCTTTCTGGGTGGGCCTGGCTAGAGAAGAGCCACCTGCTTGGCTGCTAGGAGGCAGAAGGGGAACCGCAGCAGAGTAAAGTAGCTGGGGACCCCCGAGAGCCTCTCTCCTTCCCCCACCTGAGCTCACGGATGCTGCCGTGGATGAAAGATCTCTTCATTGCCCAGCGGTCTTCTTGGCCGCAGGAAATTTTTGCATTAGGCCTAGTTCCTCACCTGCCGGGCAGTGAGCAGGGACTCGTCCACCTCTTTCTTCAGTTCCCCATTGTCATCCAGCTCCCCCCGCTCCAGGGCATCCAGCCACCGCTGCTCCTCTTCTTCCTCCCGTGGCGGAAAGCCCGTTTCTGGATCAAGTTCTGGCAACGGGGACGGCTCCAGGTTGCTGTCTTCATCTGCGGGGAGAGGAGGTTTCACCTCAAGTCTGACCAGGAAGGTGGAACATCTCCTTTGTTGATGCTAATTTGTATGTTGGCGTTCAATTCAGAATTTGTGGGTTGGGTACAAAGAACAACAGGGAGGTGCCAGGATGGCAGCAAAACTTTGAGAAAGCTTATAAAGAAAATAACAGCATCAGTGAGTCTTCCTCAATCAGCTGCAGTGAGCCGAGAAGCAATAACTTTCTCTGGAATTCTACTCAAAAAGGGGTTGTTTTCAGTCTCTCCCACCCTCAGAGTGGTTTCATTTCAGGTGTTAGCAAACAATATATACTGTGAGGATTAAGGGTCCGGCAGGTATTGGGCACCTGCTAGGATAAAAGAGGGAAATAATTATCTGGTTGGGGTCAGACCTGGAAACTCACCTGCCCACTCACCAGAGTAAATAGGAAGAGCTGGCTTGGCTACGCAACTTCTTCCGGCTGCTGAAGGCCACAGACAGCCCTAAAGGCAGGTTTTGGGCACAGAAGGGACTACAGGCCCAGGCAAAGGGAGCTTCTTACACGTGTTTTCCACAATTGTTTACTGGCCAGGCCTGTGAAGGGCAGCACCCAGCAGCTCACTGAGTTGGGGGGGGGGGCAAAAACTGGGTGGCTGGATGGAAAGAAAGGAGCCGAAGCCCCTGCTGCTTGCACTCCTTCCCAGGCAACAAGACCTCTCGGAGCCGGTGCTGCTCACCCAGCCACGCCCGGTACTGCTCGATGGGCACACCGCCTTCCATGGGCTCCTCCTCGTCGTCCGCCACCGCAAGTGGGGAGGGGGACCGGGGCCTCTCCGGGATCACGCTGAAAGTCGGGACGCTGCAGGGACGAGAGCAGGCTGGGCTTCAGGCCGGCCAAGGCAGGAGCTGCTGGTCAGCTCAGCCCCGGAGGGTCCCCGGGTGGCCAACGCGCAGCCAGCCTCCCGCCCGCCCGCATCTCCTCCCCGGTCGGCTACGGCCGGATCGCCCTGGTGGCCACCGGCCAGGAGGAGGGCGGGGTCTCCAGCCGGCAGGGAAGAGGCGTCCGCCCCGGACACGAGAGCCGCTGCCTCGGCCCCGCCCGCCCCGGGAGCCCGGCGCCCGCCGACCTCTTGGTGCCCAGGATCTGGCCGCCCAGCTTGATCTTGAGCTTCAGCTGCGGCTTGGGCAGGGCGGCCGCCGGGTCCGGTCCGGGCTCCTCCCGGTGGTGCCGCTTCTTGTGCTTCTTCTTGTGCTTCTTGTGCTTCTTCTTGTGGGCGCCGTGACCGCCCGGATCCTCCGCCGCCGCCTCCGCCTCCGCGCCTGCCGAGAACGAGCCGCTCAGGTCCCCGCCAGGCAGCGCCGCCCCCGCCCCGCCCCGCCGGGCCCCGCTTACCCCGCCGGCCGCCCTCCATCCTGCCGCCCGGGGCCTCCGCGCGCCGCCACGCCTTGTTCATCCTCCGCCGCCGCCGTGAGCGCCGCCGTTCCCCTTCCGCCGGAAGTGGGCGGCCGGAAGTAGCCGGAAGTTCCCTGACACACACGGGCCCGCCTGCCAGGACTGAGGCCGAGGAGCGGCACGGCGCAGGCGCGTCCGTTGCCCTCAGCTGCAGCCGTCTCTCCTCCGCATCCCGCCCGCCCCGCTTCAGCCCCCGAGGCGGTTGGGACAGCGGCGATAATTCTGAGCGGAGCCGCGGAAGAAGGAGAGTCCTCGCGGGGCAGCTCGGTCGGTTTCCCAGCTCCGGCCACTTCGAGCTGGGTTGGCCTTCAACTCCCAGAATTCCCAGCGAGATGCGGGAGTCGAAGCCCGGGCAGTCTGCAGTCGCCGGAAAACGCCGATCGAGACGGCGGCCGGTCAGGGACAAAAACGAGCGAGCGATCGCGCAGCGTCCATGGCTTCTGCGCGGGGGCTGCGTGCGTGCGTGCGTAGGGGCCCCAGCTCGGTCCCGAATCACCCAGAGCGCCCGCAGAAACCGGGGCGGCTCCTTCCCGTGCCCGAGAGGAGGAAAGGGGGCGGCACGCCCGGTGGGGTGGGGCGGGACGGGAGCGGAGGCGAGAGATGTCCCGGAAAGGTCCGAAGAGCCTCCGCGGGGCTGGTCCGAGGGAGGCTGCCTGGCCCTTCGGATCTCGGCTCCGGGACCCCTTTATCCCCCCCCCCACCGAATGTGGTCTCAGGACCCCGCCTCTTCGGCCGCTTCCCTCCCCGGGACCGAAGGGAGCCTGGACTCCGGGTCCCAGCCGTGGCTGGGCGCATCCCGGTTGGGCTGAGCCGACGCCGAGGACACGAGGGTGGGTGCCCGGCAAGGCTGGCGGCTCAGCTCAGCTCAGCTCGCTCCCTTACCCGGTCTAAGCATGTCGGTTCTTAAAAAACGTGGGCTGTGCAGTGGCTCCAGGAGCAATTCCTGCTCTCTCTCTCTCTGTGTGTGTGTGTGTGTGTGTGTGTGTGTGTGTGTGAGAGAGAGAGAGAGAGAGAGAGAGAGACTACCCATTTGGACTCCTAGTTCCATAATGTGTGTATGTGTTCGTGCGTGTGTGAGGGGGGCAGTTATTTTTCTTTGAGCTCTGCTCAAATAGAAAAATACCAATGGCATGTTGAATACAAAGATGCCCTAAGGAGCACCAAATGTATCAAGATAAGGATTTTAGGAAGGTGATTAGCAACAATGATGCATCTTATTATATTGAAAAGGTATACGTCAGGGGTAGGCAACCTTGGCTCTTTTATGACTTGGCTCTTTTATGACTCGTGGACTTCAACTCCCAGAACATGCTGGCTCAGTAATTCTGGGAGTTGAAGTCCACGAGTCATAAAAGAGCCAAGGTTGCCTACCCCTGGTATAGGTCTTCCCAATCTATAGATCTTAAATCTTAAATATTCCAGGGCTTCAACGTTCAAAAATCTAACAGTGTATTAAAATACTGATGCGTTAAAATACTATTTAAGCACGTAAGCATTACATTAAAGCAAGCATTTTATAGATCCGGCATTTTATTCAGTTAGTTGAATTATTGTTTGATTCTTAACGTAAAGTATTTTGACTATTTTTCTACTTCAAGTTGTCTTACTGCACATGTTTTATCATCTTATAGAAACTCTTTTTGTATTTTGATATTGTAGGAATGTTTTATTGGTCAATGACTGCCATAAAGGCGTTCAGTCACTCACTCATTCAGACTGTGGTAGGGTTTGAGTAGACAGATTGTGACACTCCATGGCCAGAATCTTGACAGTCTTGACCAATGCCAAGACGAGCATGCACAAAGGGCCACCAGGACCGTCTCTTGCTTGCATGGTTACAAAAATGTCTGGGCAGGGCAAATTCTAGAAGGACCCGTCTGGATAGAGGAGGAAACATGGGAAAGAGACAGACAATCTGTTTTTACAATCTGTTTTTACTTCAGTGTTTACTTGTAACACGCCCTGATGTAAAAGAGAAAGCCCCAGAGTCATTTCGGTGCCAAGTGGAAATGCATGTTAAAACAAGCAGAGTTCCAACTTCCTGAAGACTCTGCTTTGTGCTCCGAAGCACTCCCCGTTCCCCAGTTGGTGAAGCCACCAGCTGGATCATCTGAGCCTGACATCCTAGAATACAAAGCAGATGTATTATGAACCACACAGTGGATCAACGAGGTGCAGAAGGGCATAAGCAGTGGGGGGGGGTCAGTGGGGGCGAAAGAGCTTGGATCGAGATTCTTGGCCAAGAGAGGTCCGAGCCGGGGCAGCTGTCCTTGCGGACAGTCACAGGAATCAATAATCAGGTTTAAAAGGAGGCGGTGCCTTCCGCTGCTCCGACAAAGGCCTGGTATTTTGCTCCTGTGCTGGGCATCCTCTCTTGGTGAGAGGAACGCCACTGGCTGGCCTTCTGCCCTTTTTTATCTGAGCCACAAAGGTGGTCTCAGCCCCTCCCCAAGTGGGCAGCACTCTTGTGAGGATAAAAAATAGTACTGGCATTGCTCCAGAGTTGATCTGGGGAGGCTGAAAAGTAATAGGCACCCTCATAAAATGGCTGTCCCGTCAACAAAGCTTCCTTAAAGGAGCAAGGTGGTCTCGGGTCCTGGGAGGACTTCTTCCCCCTCAGCTGACTGCTCTCTCTCTCTCTCTGGCCTGGGAAAATGTGCCCCTTCTGCTGGGGGGAGGGGAAATGCCAGTCGCAGGAGGGTTCCGAGAAAGAAGGATTCTGCTTCAGGCTGGCCTTTGCTTCTGGAGTGGAGCGGAACCCAAAAGAATCTCATTTGAAAAATCAGATTGGGTGCAGAAGGAGCAATGAAGCCACCCTGGAGACCTCAGTTTTGGCCATCGCGGCTCCATTTTCTCCACCAGAGACGGACCCACACGCACACCACTCAGGCTGCAGCACTGGACAGGTTCCCCACCCCACCCCTGGGAAGAATTAAACTGCTCCTGACTGGGAGGAAACCACCCAGAAAGTGGCACCTTTTTCCTCATTGCTCCCCTCTGGTGTGAGGCAGCCAGGATCAAGTTGTGGCAGGCGTTCCCCACCCAGCCCTTGGCCCAACTATTTCCCAACTGGAGGGAAGGTGCAGCCACCTTCCTTGTGCCTCCCAGAGTGTTGTGGGGGAGGCCAGCCCTTCCCTCCCAGGTGCTTCCATTCCTTGCCTGTCATCTGGGAAGGCCTGGCAGGGTTTGGGGGGAAGGGAGGTTCCCCCTTTGAAGGACTTGCCCAGCAGGATTAACCCCATTTCTGGGTCTGGACAATACATTAAACCGTTAAGGGCACATTAAGCAGTCTGGCAGACTGTTCATGCTTCACACCAGGTGGGTAGAAGAGGGTTGGAAAAGTCTGTCGCTGGGTGAACAAAGGACGGAGGGCTGATCCAAAACCCCACCGCAGCCTTGCTGGATCCCTTCCCTGCTACTTTTTTTGGTCTACTTTTGCTTCTGTTTTCAGTCCCTCTTAAGCCAACGGGCAGCCCTGTTTCTCAAGCCGCTCCTCTTGGTGTCTGGAGGCCAAAGGGGTAAAAGGGGTAAAAGAGGGGCAACCCTGGCCCTGCCTTAGTTTTCGGGTTTCCACATCACTCTTCCATTTTAAATTTAAGTTTTTAAGAGTCACAGTTGCGACTCTTAAGCCGTTATTGCTAGCAGTCGGGACATTTGTAGGAACCCTGATCCTTTGTCGCATATTTATTCTGTTGCAGCCAAGTTGGCATTTTAAAAAATCTGGAAGGCCTTCAGAAATAAGGCAGGATCCACAGCCTGCCACCCGGTGCCCTCGTCTTTGTGTGGGGAGATGGCTCAAGCGCTTGGGGCAACCAGCCAGCCGGCCCCTCCCTCAAGGCCAAAGAAGCCAGCTGCACCTCCCCTCCCCAGGCTGGCCTTGCAAGGAAGGTCAAAAGACGGGGGCCCAGAGCAGGCCAGCCTCTGCCTGCCATTTGTCAGCTGTCCGCGACAGCTCACTCACTCACACACATACACACCCGCCAGCTGCAAGTCGTTTCTGGGCAGGCGACCCGATCCTTCCCTTGCAGGCACCGCGCTCCCCCCCCCCATACGCGCACTTTGGGAGGGCCTGAAGGGGCAGCGAGCGGCCGCTGTGCTCCCAACACGCGTAACCTGCCTATCCTTTCCTTGCTCGAGCCAAGCGGTGAAGCAGAAACTTCCAACCGGCCGGGCTCGCAGGTGGTGCGAACTCAGCCACGCAGTTCCGAGGAGCAGCCCGTGGCCGCAGCCGGGGAGGGAGTCCCGCTCCGGGGCCCGAGCGGAGGGAGCCGCTCAGTTCCTGCGGCCCGGGCGCGCCGGTGGGCGGCGCCGCCTCCTGGGGCGCGGCGGGCAGGAGCCGCGACCCCGCCCAGGTGGGCCGGCGGGCGCACCCCAGACGGTCCGGGGAGGCGGGCGAGGAGCCGCCCCCAGGCACAGGCACAGTTCTCGCGGCGGCTGCGGAGGCCGGGCCGACCGACGACGGTTCCTGCCGCTCCGGTCGGCGCCAGCAGCGCCCGCGGCCGGACCATGTTCCAGCGGCAGCACCGCAGCCGGGTGACGGTGGCGCGCGGCTCCGCGCTGGAGATGGAGATCCGGCGGGGCCGCTTCCGCCTCAGCCTCCTGGGCGAGCCCGAGCAGGTAGGGCGGCGGCGGCGCGGAAGGATTGGGCCGGCCTGGCCGGGAGACGCGGGGCGCTCAAGCCGTGCGCGGAACCTGCGCGCTGGGAAGCCCTGAGCCGCTTTGCCCGGGACGGCAGCGGCAGGGCCGGGGAGAAGCCGGCAGAGGCCGCCCGCCCGGACCCACCTGTGGGGCTCCTGGGGGCGGGCCGGGAAGCGCGGTGGGCTCCGGTCGCCCCCACCTCTTTCTTCCTTTTGGAAAGGGAGCCCCGCGCCGCGTCCTCCCGAGTGTGGCGGCTTTGCCGCGCCTTTTTAAACCAGCGTCGTCAGCTGAGCGCCGCCCAGACCCGCGTGTCAGAGTGGGGGTCTCTGGGTGGAATCTGAGGCCCCTTGCAGCCCAGGCCTCCGAGGGGCCCAGCCGGCTTCAGTCCCGGGGCAGGGACTTGTTGCGTGTATACCGTAGTGGGCAGACCCTGACGACTCTCAGCTTTCCACCTAGACTGGCGTATCTGGAAGGAAGGTGACCAGGTCTTGTGTGGTGACCCCCCACCACATCTGGAAAGATGTCCAGAGCCCTGACCCAACCTGCCTCTGGCTCCCAGGGGAGCAGGGCCACAGGGACTCTTGGCAGAGGGCCAAGGAGCTGTGGCGGGGGTGTGTGTGTGTGCAGAAGGAATTGCTGCCTTTCCAGTTCTGGGGTTGGGGGGCCAGGAACAGGTGCAGCTAACACTCCCCCAGGGTGGCTGCTGAGGTTCCTAGGCCTTTGGGGCTCGCTGACCAGCAACAGGGGAAGTCACGAGGTGGCTTTGTGGGTCCCGCTGGCCTGGCCTGGCCCTCTTGGGTTTCCTTGTGCCCTTTTTTTTCTCCCTTGGTGGGCAGAATGCTGCCGGAACAGTTTCCCCAGACTTGAAGGCCCAAAGAAGCAGATTACATTGTGGTAAAACCCTGAAACCATTTTCAAAGAATCCGAGTGAGTGAGTGAGTGAGGTGTATTAAATGTGAGATTTATTTGTAGTCGTGTTCAAGTTTCTTGTACTTTTTCTCGCCTGTTGTCATCAAAGGCTAAAGCAGCTCCCTTTGGAAGCTTCTGTTGGACGCCTCTAGTAGCAGGTTGTTCACCTCTGACTGTGGGAAAACATATACACAAGCTTCCCTGATCAAGACTCCCGTCTTCTATAGAGTTAGTACATTTTTAAAAATTTGGATGCCAGGCCAAACCCCTTTCTCACCTGCCTGAATGATGGTTTCCTCCAAATCGGGTGGGGGGGAGGCGATCAGACCTTCAGTGGCCAACACGGCACCGTCTATTTTGCAGGATTAATGTAACCCAGGATGGGAGCAGAGCGACTTGAGGGTTTGCTGGGAGTATCCAAAATGTTTAGCCACGGCTCAACTGCTGCCTTGGGCTCCTGGCTACACAGATGGAGAGAAGGACATGCTGTAGTCCAGTGTGAGGCACTGGGCCACCGTGCAGCTCTCTGCAGCTGTTGGTCTCCTGGCTTGTCCCATTGGGCTTGTTGCCCTTGGGCAGAACGTCATCATGGAGGCAGTCTGGAGGGCTGCAGAATGATCCAGGGCAAGCCTAGCCTTCGCTGGCAGTACCTATGGGGCTTGGATAAAATGGGGCAGCGTCTGGATGTTGTAGGAACCAACTACGTCCACTTCTTGAGGCCCAGGGTTGGTCAGGCAGGTTCTTTGTAGATTAACAGCTAAGGAGGCCAGCATGCCCAGTTGGGACCAGTTGGTAGAATGCAGGCAGCATATCTTGGCTTGCAAAGTAGTCTGTAGACTAGAGGATTTAGCTCGCTTCTGACAGGTCAGCGTGCTTGGGATAAAACTGGATTATGCTCATGCTGGTGCCCTGCTGGTTCACGGCCTACCTGAGGAGGGGCATTGTCCCTCCTGTAGCAGGAAATGGTGCACGAGGTGCCCCAGCTGCAACTCAGACTAATAACCTGGTCTGCATCTTTTCTGACTGCCTGCAAAAGATAACGTGAGAGCCTCAATGGCCCAGTGCCACTTTGGGCACGGAGGCCAAAATCTATGGCTGATCCCATGGCAACTGGCGTATGGAAGATCGAACTTGGGTCAAGAGTAAATGGCATGAATTAATGGATGAAAGAAAGACAAATCCTTTGGTTGTCTGTTGGTAGAACTGAGAGAAAGAGGATCAGCGCAATAGATCTGAAGGGGGGGGCAGGGGGGGCTGATCGTGGTGAGTGGAGTTGAAGGGAAGGGCTAAAAAGTATGAATGAGTAAATCATTGTTACAGCAATGTGTGAACATAAGAATCTGTATGTTGGCGAGACTTGCATTTAAGGAAACTGCTGGGAGGAGTTGGGGAGAAATTTCAGGGGAAAAAAATACATTATACAAGGTAACCTAAGTGGATGGATATGAAGGAAAATGAGAAAAAAAAGCCACTGGGCCGTGAGAGGTCTAAAATGAATAAAAATAGGGAGTTCCTGCTTAGAAAATTCTCTGTTTAAGCCAACCTCTGTATGTACATATGGCGAAGGGTCAATAGAAACAAAAAAACCCTATTTGATTCATTTATGCTGAAGATCTCCCTAGAAATTGAAAAATGGAAATTGAAAGTGGACACACACACCCCTAGATAGTAAATTATGTTGCAGAGCAAAACAGGAGGGTGGGGATTTGTGCTAACAGAAGGGGTGGAAAGAAGGCTTGGTGGAACAAAGTGAGAGGCTAAGAAAAATTCACAAAAGAAAATAATTTCTGCACGCATTGAGGATCAGCGAAACATTTAGAAATATCCATACAGAGAATTACAGATAATTGCAAGAAAATGAGGTCAGAAGAGCAAGGAACACTTAAAAGAGTGGAGAAAATGCAGAGCAGTTTTGGTGAACAGAAGGGGCAGTTTTGGAAATGGGTGAAGCAGCCGAATGAGGAATTTTCAGCAGAGAAAACGGGATTAAAAATAAATGAAGTGATCCGGGGTGAAACCGAAGTGAGGGAATTCTCAAAGAAGTCTAGCTGAGTAGTGCAGGGAAAAGATGATGGTTGTGGGTGGAGTGGAAATGGCAAATGCTGAATGTATATCAGAAAAAAACAACAAACGGGAAGTCATAAGTTCTTGAAAAACAGCGAGAGCGCAGGTAACTGGCGAATGTTAAAATATGGATAGGGTTTCCTTGGGGGGGGGGTTTGCTGTTCCCAGGGGAAGGGAACCAAAAAAATGCACAGGAATATAACAAGGATCCTGCTAAGCTCCAGAAGGGCTTGAGAGGGAAGGCTCCCAAGATGCATCTTCTTCTTGTGCCATATCTGTTATTGGCGATCATGTTGGCGTTCCTGTTTTTATCAGCAGCCATACAAAAAAGTGCTGCTGAGTTTTGTCCAAACCAGTCCCTTAGATTTTGAAGCCACGATGTTCTTCTTCTGCCTGGACCTCGTTTGCCTTCAATCTTTCCCTGCAGGATTAAACGGAGTATGCCGTATTTTTCTGGGTGTCGCATCACATGTCCGAAATATTCTAACTTTCGTTTTTTAATTGTTTTGATGATTTCCCTCGGCTTTCCCAGGCGGCTTATCGCCTCCTCATTTCTGATCTTGTCAACCCAGCTTATACTTAACGGCTGCCTATAAATCCACATTTCAAATGCTTCTAGTCTCTTCAGGTGGCCTTCTGTCAGAGACCAACTCTCTACTCCATGGAGCAGGATAGAAAAAATATGGCATCTGACAAGCCTGATTTTCAGTCTTAGGCTTCTGTCGTGACTGCAGAAGACCTTTTTCATTTTGAAGAATGCTGTTCGAGCTTTCTCTATGCTAGTCTTTACTTCAGCAGTCATGTCCCAATCCCAAGATGCATGGCCCAGCCCAAACCTCTTCTAGCAGGCAATAATAGTGTTGGAAAGGGACCCTGTAGAGCAGTGTTTCTCAACCTTGACAATTTTAAGGCATGTGGACTTCAACTCCCAGAATTCCACAGCCAGCGTTGCTGGCTGTGGAATTCTGGGAGTTGAAGTCCACATGCCTTAAAATTGTCAAGGTTGAGAAACACTGCTGTAGAGGGCATGCATGGAAGGACAGGGAGCTGGATCCCACGGGAGAGTCTCCGCAGGCCCCGGAGGAAAGTGGGGTGGCCAGCCCTGTGGGGCAAATCCCTGGGGAAGGGCTGCCTCTTCCCTTGTGGATGGCAAGCTAAGCAAAGAAGAGAAAGCAACGGGGGGAGGGGAATAAATGGGCAGTTTTCTCACTCTGGATCTGGAGTCCCTTAAGGGACCGTGGTGGACCACTCAGGTGACTCAGACGTGGGCAGTGAATTGGACAACAATACAAAATCATTCCTGACGGTCAAAAGCCAAGAATGACTGAAATGCTCCACCCGGTCAGCCACACATGTGGCAGATGCGGCTCAAATTCAGGCAAAGCCAGGAGGGGACAAAACTGCTCAGATCTGAGCTTCCTCCCGTTCGCCAGGGCCAGAGGAAGGCGCTGGGGCACCAGCCTTTCCCGCCCCCCCCCCATGAAAAAAGCAGATTCCAGGCTGTGCAGCTGTAGGAAAGAAACTGAGGACTAACACTGCAGCCCCATTGCACGGATCCTTCCATCTGTATTGGGGGTGGGCTGAGGGGATGCTCTTTGAAGCAGAATTCATAGCCATAGAGGTGGAAAAATGCAAGCAGGGCCACCAGAAGGAAATGGGGGGGGAACACCTTCTGACCTCTGTGAGGAGGGGTTCAAGTGTTCGGGACTGTCTAGAGCAGGGGTCCTCAACCTTGGCCACTTTAAGACTTGTGGACTTCAATTCCCAGAATTCCTCAGCCAGCAAAGCTTCTGGGAATTGAAGTCCACAAGTCTTAAAGTGGCCAAGGTTGAGGACCCCTGCTCTAGAGGTTGGGGGGGGATGATCAAGGCAACTACATGACCCACCTTTATCTCCCCTTCTTCAAACTGTGGGGCTGCCCCAGGCCTCCTTCAAGGCAATTGGAACAGGCAGAGGGGAGCCTGTGGGGCAGATCGCTAATCTGGGGAAATCACGGCCACTAGATGGGGGCTGCTGGCCATTAACTCAGATCATATTAGTTAAATTAACTGAAGACTGATCTCCACGGACCACGTTGGGGGCCTCAGGGGTACCTCCAGCTGTGGAGTCCATGCTCAGATCTCTCCTACCCCCCCTTCCCAACATCTGCTCAGCCCTAGGAGAAGGGAAAAGCCTGGGCCGGGCCTGCAGGGTGGTCTCGTCAAGAGAAACATCCCCCCCCCAATCATCTCACTCTTCTGTCCAGGGCACATTTTTCCACACCGCCTCACAGAGGATGGCACCCCAGGAAGAGCCCCCTGAAGAGGTGGTTGGTGCCAGAGGAGGTGGCACAGCCCCCCCTGGCATCTGTCTGGTGGGGGGGGTCAGCTTCTCAGCCCATTGGGGGACATTGGCCGCCCTCTGGTGGCCGAGGGCTGGCACTGCCTTGGGGGCTTCTGGCTGGGGCTTGGACCTCAGAGAACAGAGAAGCTTCTGGGCTGGAGCTGGGATGGGGCTGGGGCCGGTGGGCAGAGCGGGCTGGTCCCCTCCCCTGCCGAGAGTGCTGGGGGCCTGGGGCAAGGGGCTGCCCACCCGCCTGCTTCCTTCCATCGCAGGGTGGGCGGGCAGGAGGGACGCGTCTAAAGGGGAGGCGAGGCTGCTGGAGCCGCCAGCTTGGAGGGGCGGCCCTTGTAAGATGAGCTGGAACAGGAAGGCTGGCGGGGGGGTGGGGGTGGGGGTGGAAGCCAGGCAGATTTCCTGTGCATGGAGCGCCTGCGACCCAGGAAGGAAGGGCAGGGGGACCTGGGCAAGGCGGCCGTAGTCGCACAGGAGGTAAGGGCTGGGGAGGGCCAAGGGGGCAGAGATGCCACTGCTCCACTCTCGGTTTGGGAGAGAGGAGGAGAGTTCCCAGGCCGGGCAGCAGGGGGCGACAGCATCCGCCTGACGGGGCACCCCAAAGCCCCTCCATCTAAACTGGCCCTTCTGGGGAGCCGTGCCTGGCTGGCAGTGGGACCCCCCCCCCCCGGCTGGCAGAGGGTGGTGGCGCTGCAGAGCCTGGAGGCAGATAGGGAGGGCTGTGTCCTGCCTGGCAGCCGGGTGCAGCCTCTGGGCCCCCCAGCCCTGCCCTTTCAGGCACAGTGGCTGCTTGTTCTCAGGGTGGGCGTTGGAGCTGCTGGGCTGGCACGAAAGAAAGGGCCTATTCTTTCCACAGCTGGCCCAGGGGAGCGGCATCTGCTGACGGAGGGGCCGGAGCGCTGAGCCCGCTGCCCTTCCCCCCCCTCCACCTTGCCTCCAAAGCAGCCTGAGAGCGTGCTGCGGTCGAGCTCCATGGGAAGCCCAGTTTGGGGGTACTTGCTCTGAAGCCACACCTCCAGGTGGGCTTCGGGGGCCGAACGGGGGGCCTGGGGTGATGCAGGACAAGCTGCACATCCTGGAGGACCTGAACATGCTCTACATCCGGCAGATCGCCCTCAGCCTGGAGGTACTGTGTCCGGGGCATCCGGGCTGCTCTGCTACTGGACGTTGTTGCTTTCAGAGGGGGGGGGAATGTTTGTGGGTGTGGGTCAGCATGTGGGTGTGTGTAGGTGTGTGTATCTCCATTTATACGGTCGCCCATTTCACCAGTGTGGCTCGGGGGGGGGAAGGGCTGTGTCTTGGCCCCGAAGGGCCAGAGAGAAGCCCTCCTGGGGACGCTCCTGTTCCTCGGGAGGGGCTGCAAACTGGGGGGGGGGCGCTCAGTCTAACGGGAGCGCAGGGACTCTGCAGGTGCGTCCCCCGGTTTGGGTGTCAACCGTATGGCTGCCTTCCAGGATACACTTTTGACTCCCCTGGGTCTTAGTGGGGTCCCCTGGCGACCCCCCCCCAAGAGTAGCAGCGCTGTTCTCATCCCGCAGCCTCTTGGTGACCTCCCACAGGGGCCCTTTTCCTTTGCCCTCCGGCTGGTCCCTCCACACGGGGCGTGGGGAGTCCTTTAGAGGCAGAGAGAGGCTGGGGGGGGGGCTCCCTGGTCTGGGGCTCTGTAGCCAGGGCTGCCATGCGCTTTGCCTGTGCCTCCCTTGGTGACCTTGCTGCATCTTGTGAGCTCCACCTGTTGGCTCTCCTCCTCCTCCTCCTCCTCCTCCTCCTCCTCCTCCTCCTCCTCCCGTTAACCTGTCAGTGGCCAAGCAGGCTTGGTGGGCCCTGCCCAGCTCCCTCTTGCCGTGGGCCCTTCAGGGGCTGGAGCCCCAGAACTCGGCGTGTTTCTGCTCAGCTGCCCAAGAGAGGGGTGGTGGTGGGTTGGCAGGATTGGCAAGAGGTGCCACCTCTTGCTTTGGCTTCCTCTCCTGGATCTTGGAATGGGACGATGCTGGTCAGAAAACACCTTGCCTGGGACCCCCAAAAGGGCATCAAGTGGCTCCACAGAGTTTGGGGGGGTGGCCCCATTGTGGCTGCAGATGCATGGATATTTGCTGCTTGCAGCTGCCCAGTATTAAGACAGCCCCCCTGGCCGAGCCAGGGAAGGACCCCAGAGCCTTGGGTGACTGCTGTCTCTCAAGACTGCCAGGCAGACCACTGTCTACTGGGGGGGCAGGGGGCCCCTTCAACCTGGACCTCTGTCTTCCTGAGACTGGCAAAGCAAGAAGCTGAGAAGGCCTCCCCCCCCCTGCTCTCTCTTTGTCCAGGGAAGAGGTTGAGGGCCCTGGCAGGAGAGGGGGGGATCTGGTTTGGGGGGCAAATGAAAACAGATACGCTGAGGGGAAATGGAGAGGGTGCCCTGCTGGGGTCCCCCTCCAAGAGGGGCGCAGCGGGTGGCATGGGAGCAGAAACGCCTCTGAGACTCACTCTTGTGCCTTGGCACTGAATGGCTGTGGTGACCCCTCCCCATTTGCCTTCTCAGCCTCACGCGCAGGGGCCCTCTCCGCATGGGGGTCCCCCTCGCTGCTCCGGAGAGGAGGCAGGCCCGCGGCGAGGGCGCTGGGCTTTGGGCGGGGGTCCCTCCGCAACTCTCTCTGCCCCGCGGGGCGTTGCGGCCCCCGCAGATTCCAGCCGGCCTATTTTTAGGCAGCGGTGATGTCACAGCTCCCCCCGCAGACCCTGCCCAGGCGCCCCCGCCCCTCCGGCGCAGCTGCCGCCAGCAGGAGGACCTCGCCGCAGCGGAGCGAACGGGGCGGAGGCGGCCCCGGGCTATGAGCCGGCGGCATGGAGAACGGGAAGCCGGCCAGGGTGAGCTCGGAGCTGGAGGAGGAGGAAGAAGAGGCTGCCGGAACAGCCAGCGCTGTCTCGGGGGCGGCCGAGCACATTCCGAGGAGGGGGGCGACCTCCCTAGGTCCCAATTAAGGCGCTGATGGATGGAGACGGGGGGGGGGAGCAGAGAGGGTCAGAAGCCATCCTGCTCTCCTCCCCCCTCCCCTCGCAGCATTGCAGGCCCCAGTGGGGGGGGGGTGAGCCTCTCCGGGCTGCAGCTGCTGCAAAAGCTGAGAATGAGAGTGCGAGGGGGGGGGCTGGGAGCCCTTGCGGGGGGGGCAGTCTGAGGGCCTTCTTGCCCGGCTCCTATCCAGGGCCAGATGGGGGAGGATATTCACCTGAGAGGGTCCGCTGTGAGCTTCTCCCCCATTTAGAGCAGTGACCATCCTGATAATATTGTTTTTTGGGGGGGGCATCGGGTCCCTGCCCCCCCTGCAGTGAAATGCCTCCTTTCAGAGCAAAGCTGTGTTTCCATGAGTGGGAGGAAAACAAGAGCGGGCGGGGGCGACGGGGGACGGTGCCCTCCAGATGTGTGGCAACTGTTACGGTTCTGGTGCAGCCGTCTCTGCTCTTCCTGAAACACCCCTGCAAGTGGATCAGTGAGGAGGCTCCCCCCCCCGCCTGCCTCCTCCAGAGCCCCCCTTGCCCCCGACCCCTTCAGCTGAGTCCCCTCCCTCCCCCCCCAGGGCACAGACCTCCAGAAGAAGATCGACCACGAGGTCCGCATGCGGGACGGCGCCTGCAAGCTGCTGGCGGCGTGCACTCAGCGGCCGCAGGCGCTGGAGGTGACCAAGAGCCTGCTGGTCTGCAACAGCCGCATCCTGGCCTACATGGCGGAGCTGCAGCGCATGAAGGAGGCGCAGGTGATGCAGCACATGGCCCGGCGGTGAGTTGGCCCCGGCGGGGCAGCGGAGGGGCCGGCTGGAAGCCTGGCGGGGTGGGCGTGCAGAGAGACGCGGGCGGAGGGCCCGCAAGGTCTGGCCGCGGAAGCAGAGATTTGGGCGTCCTGGACCCCCCCCCCTCCCCGCCAGTTCCTCTTGCCATGGACACCTGCCCAGGCTCCCTCCGCCCCGGGTCCCCTTCCCCTCCCCTCCCCTCCCTGCTCCTACGCCTTCCCCCCTTCCCGTTCCTCCCACGGGGGGGGGGGCTGGGAGCCAGTCGAGGATCTTTGGGGCTGCCTCACCCTGGGAAGGAGCAGCAGGAGCAGCGGGGAATGTGGGGAGGGAGGCAAGGAAAGCTTCAGGGTTTGAGACCTCCCTTCCACCACACCACACAGGCCTGCTCTGAGCGCTCTGCCCCTCCTTGGGTTGCATTCAGGTGAAAACTTGTTAGGGACCCCCAGCTCACGCTAGCCGCCCACCCCACCCCCCAGCAAACCTGCTTCACTCCGTTCATGCTTGATTTTCTCAGTTGCTAATAAGAAATATTGTTTTTCTGGTGACTGCCAGAGTCATACCTTCTATGCTTGTATTGGGGCGTTGTAGTAATTGTAATTGTTTTAATAATACTTCATATCTCTCTCTCTCTCTCTCTCTCTCTCTCTCTCTCTCTCTCTCTCTCTCTCTCTCTCTCTCTCTCATCTATCTATCTATCATCTATCTAATCTATCTATCATCTATCTATCATTTATCTATCATTTATCTACTATCTATCTATCTAATCTATCTATCTAATCTATCTATCTATCTATCTATCTATCTATCTAATCTAATCTAATCTATCTACATCCTGCCCAACAACTTAGTCCTTCCGAGGCTGGACCCACAGACAGTCGCTTACCCTGCAGGGGCCGAATCTGTGTCTCAGGTAAGGAGGGGCTGGTCCTGGCTGGGCTGGGCTCCCCCCACATAGGCCTGCCCCTCAGTGGGCAAGAAGAGGAACGGGAAGGAGGGTCTCGTCCCCGTCGAGGGCTCCTCAATGGGACGTTTATTTTGCTGCACATACAGACCTTCCCAGCCTCAGCTAAGATATTAGTTGAGAGAATAGAGCAAGTCTTTTTTTAATTCACGCTTTATGGTTTGAAAGAGGAACCTAGCAATCAAATGATACTAGTAGTATCATTAGTATTAATATTCGCTTATCAGGAAAGTTTTGCTAGAAATAATAGAAGAATCATGCTGAAAGAAGACATCCAGGACTTCTGCACCCCAAGGCTGCCCTCCCGGCTTCACCTGATCTGGGCTAAAGAAACGGAGCCTGGGAAGGGAGGCGGGAGAAGCTTCAACTTCTGCCAGGGAAGGCGGCTCCTGCCAGTGCTGCCTCCCCTTTTCCGGCAGGTGCAAACTGCAGAAGGGCCCATTCAGACACGGCATGAAACTGGCACGGCTGCCCTGGCATTTTTGTAACTGTCTTCCAGTCAAGGGATGGTACTGGAGTTTTTGCCAGCAGAGATGTTGATTTTTGCCCAGTTAATCCTGCCTTTCCGTTCCGGCTCCATCTCGCCCAGCCAGGCTCAGCCTTCGGTCCCTTGGACCTTTGGGGCCAGGGAGGGGGCGGATGAGGCTCCCCCAAGCCCAAAGGGCAACCTGTGCACAGCCGGGACTGGTGTGGGGCAGCATCCCCTGTTTTGAAGAGGGCCTCGACCTGCAGCGGGGATCCCTGGCGGCTAACCACGACCCGCCCAGCTTCTGTTCAGGAGGGATCCACTTCCCGACTTGCTCTCTGCGAAGTGCAGAGATCACTTGGAGGGGGCTGAGCTCAGCACGTCCTCAGCCGTCCAGCAGGAGGGGACCGGGAGAGAAACCTTTCCCCCAAAGAGGGGAGGCCTCCGCATGAGCGGGCACCGTCCTCCACTCAGTTCCCTCCACCTTGGTTTAAAGAAGGGGGGGGCGAAGATTTGTGATCGTAAACGAGCCAACCGTTGGTGGCCTTGCTGCTGTGTGTGGTCATTGAGATTTGTGGCCTGCCACTCTCTTTCCTTTTTTCCAGATCTGCGGATCCCCCTGATGTGGAAGGACACGGAATATTTCAAGAACAAGGGGGGTAGGTTCCCTGGCTGGTGCTCCCCACATTGTCTGTCTCCCCCTCCCTTCCGTTTGTTTCTCACGTACAGACTTCACTCCAGGGCATTATGGATCCGCAAGCTTAGAACAAGCTTGTGTACCGGAGACCCTTTGGCGAAAGTCAGGATGCCCGAATTTGGCCAATGCTTGTAATGCCACAGACGCACGGCTGACCTCGTCTCCCCGCTGCCTTTGGTGTCCTTTGCACCTCGTTTTAAATAAAAAATGGTGCATAGAAATGATCCTGGCCCTTCCCAGCCAGGGTCCCTTCAGATGTTCAGAAGGCAGCTTTTTCCACGTGTGTGTGTGTGTCTCCTCCTCCTGAAGAGCTCAGTACCATTGTGGGTCCCATTGCTGAGGGAGATTCACCTGCAGGGCCCCGGGAATCGGGCTTTTCCCCGATGGCCCCCCCCTCCATGGCTGGGACAGCTGCTTCCTGGCTGGATTTTTGCAGGGTTGAGAAAACATGGCTGTTGGAGAGCCTGTGTTTGTGCATGTTAGTGTGTTACTTCAGCCACCTGGTGGTTGGTGCTGTTAGTTCTGCTTTGGCTGCTTTTGCTTTTCATGCATTCTCGTTTCCTCCTGATTGCCACTCAGTCAGTTTGGAATGGAGCTGGGGAGGAGGGGAGGGGTGGGTACAGCCTGGGAGAAAGAAATGACGTCTGCCAATTAAGACAGGCCAGCCTGAGGCAAAGGGCGATGCCAAGCTCTGTCCCGGGACTCGGCGTCAAAACAGCTTCTACTCCCTTGGCTGAGCCCAGGGATCTGCAGGTCCCGGCCAGTCCCTCGCCCTTTGGAAGAGGCTTCTCTGCAACTTCCAGCGCCTGGGGATCCACCGTGGAAGAGGCTGATCAAGCGTGTCTGTCTGTGGGTGTGGGTGGGTGCGCCACAATGGCCTTGGAGCTGTGGGGATTGTAGCGGGGGGGCCTAAATGCCCGGCTTTGCCCCTTTCCCCAGACCTGCATCGCTGCGCGGTGTTCTGCCTGCTGCAGATTGGCACGGAAATCTACGACACGGAGATGGTGCTGGCGGACCGGACGCTGGCCGACCTCTGCTTTGAGAACGCCGTGCTCTTGTGAGCCTCGCCGGACACTCTGCAATCCGGCCCCCACCCAGGCAGGGGAGGGGAGGAGGGGGCCCCATCTCACTCATTCCATCTCGGGTGGAATTGGGCCTTTTGGGGCCTAGTGGGAATGGCGGTTGGTGCCCCTGGGAGGGGTCAGGAGGAAACCTCGAGGCCTGTGGAAGGTGGGTGCTCACTGGCCGGGCCTGAGCCCAGAGGTTGGCCCTGGGACCCTGCCTTGGAGCTCCTGGCCGGCCAGCCGGGATCCTGGTGGTGCTCAGAGCCGGCATGGGGGGGCTCCTCCTCTCTCTCTCTCCCCAGCACCGAGGCCGGTCCAGACTTTGAGCTGAAAATTGAGCTCTACAGCGCCGCCCTGGAGGGGGACTCTGCCCTGGGTGCCACCCCCAAGAAGCTGGCCAGCCGCCTGAGCAGCTCCCTGGGGCGGTCCTCGGGGAAGCAGATGCGGGCTGCCCTGGATGGGAGCGGCCCGGGCAGCAACGGGGGGTGCAGTCCACTGATGCTGCCCCCGGCTGCCAGCACAACGTGAGTACCCTTCCCACCTACCGGGGGGAGCCTGCAACCCCCACCCACTGCCTCACCAGCAGGATGCCCGTTCTTTTCCAGGGGGCCCAAATACCAACTGCTGGCCTGTGCCCACCTTGGCCTGGCGCACGTCCAGGACGCCTTTCGCACCCATGACCTCCTTGTCACTGGCAACGGTAGGCACAGAAGATGGCTGTGGGCATCCCTCACCCCTGCAGTCGGGGCCCTCCCAGAGCGGTTGGGGGTCTTGGGGGAGGGCTGACGAGTTCTTCGTGTGCTTGAGCCAGCGACCGGAGACATTTTACTGAACCCCCGATTTTGCCCCGGCTGACGCCCCCTTCTCTCCCAGAGGAGAACTCCTTCTGGCTGCCCCTGTATGGCAGCCTCTGCTGCCGCCTGGTGGCCCAGCCCAGCTGCATGGTGGAGCAGGTGATGGCCGGCTTCCTGAAAGTGCAGGTAAGGGCTTCACCTGCGGAAGGAGGGAGGGAGGCCTGGCTGTTGGGAGCCTGGGATGTGCAGCGCCCCTCTCGACACCCGGGCTGACTGGGTGCTGAGACGGGTGCCTCCTGCAGCCGGGGGAGGGGCTTTAACCCCCAGAGAAGGAGGAGGGGTCTGAGGCACTCACCACCTGTCTGTGCAGCAGGGGGAGCAGCTGGACTGGCCGAGGCTCTTCTGCGTCTTGCGTGGCACCAACCTTCTCTGCTACCGGCGCCCTCAGGATGCCGAGGCCCAGGAAAAGGCTGCCTTCACCATTGCCATCAACAAGGTACCCCTGGGGCACTGGGGCTCCCTGGCACACAGGCAGGCCCAGCACCACGTCCTTGCCAGCTGCTCTGGGCTCCTCTGCCTCCTTTGCAGACGGCCGCTCGTGGGCACACGGGTACACACGCAAAAAAGCACACGGGCCAAAAGGCAACTCTGGCTCTTTGCTGTCCACTGTCCGTGTGAGTCAGCTGAGCAAATCTTCCCAGACTGCCCTCCCTCGCCCGCCCCCATGACACCTCTTAGCGGGTGGGCTGGGACCCTCCCTTGCCAGGGTGCAGATAATAAGATAAGATAACCTTTATTGTCATTTTTTACTGTGGGCACACTGGTACACAAAAATGAAACTCTGTTGCCTGCTCTCAAATATATGCTCACATATAAACATGCTACATACTGTACATATGTATGCATATACGTATAGTGGAATATGTCCTCGCTCTTAAGCTCACCCTTTCAGAAATCCCTCCCGAAGCCTTAAACACTTCTGGGCTTCCCTCCATTACTTCATTACTGGCAGAAGGGAAGGCTCCGTTTCCCATTGCTCGGGGAAGTTGGAGGGGAGACTCTCTGGGCCCCCTTCCTGCCTCTGTCCCAGTCCAAGGCACCCAGCATCTGGCCCCACAGCCTCGATGACCTCCGGGCCTCTTTCCCTGGGCAGGAGACGCGCATCCGGGCCAGTGAGAAGAGCCCCAGGGGCCCCGTCCGCTGCATGTCGGTCACCAACCACTATGGAGGCGAGGAAGTGACCCACATGCTGCAGGCCGAGTCTCCCGCGGAGGCCCAGCGCTGGATGGAGGTCTTCTGGCAGCACTTCTACGACATGAGTGAGTGGAGGAGAGGCAGCAGCAGGGGGGCCTTGGGGCCCAGGGGAGGGGGGTAAAAAGAATGTCAATGCTGCAAATACTGTATATTCTTGCTTTGACAATGTGCAGAACTGTCTGGTATTTTTATAGTTAAACCAGGCAACAGGGAAAAGGGAGGAGAATAAGGATAGCCCGGGAAAAAGAACCGGAAGTAAATCACATCTTCCAAGTTGATTGGAAGATGTGAACCATGACCCCAAAATAAGGGGGGGGGGGAAATGCTTAGAATGTATATGCGTAACAAGCCAGACCTAAGCATTTCCACCATGCTGTACTGAAATATGCCTGAAAGTCCTTTTAAGTGTTTCGTTAATCAGACACATGACAAAGAACAGGCCTCCCTGGACACAGCCCTGACTCGTTTGTTGCGGGCGGGCAGCCGTCTGAAGACACAAGAGGGCTGGGTGTCTGGGGGGGGCACAACTTTGCTTCTGAGCTGGATCTGGGGCACTTCCCACTGCAGCCAAGAACACTGGGGGGCCTCCAAGACCAGCCTTCCTTTGATGCCACAGGACTCCCAAGCAGGTGACCTTGGGGAGCCCCCCCTTTACGCCTCTGTACCCCCCAGGCCAGTGGAAGCACTGCTGCGATGAAGTGATGACGGTGGAGATGCCGTCTCCACGCCGCCCTCCACTGCTGCTGCCCAAGCAGGGATCCCTGTACCACGAGATGGGTGAGGTGGACAGGGCTGGCATCCCTGAGGCAGAAGGGTGGGCTGGGGGGGTCCGCCAAGTCACACCTGCCTCCTGAATCTGGAGGGGACGGTCTCTGTCCTTTCTGCCCCCTTTTCCAGCTGCATGTCTCTCGAGTCTCTCTTGCCCCCCATCCAGTGTCTGTGCCTGTAACTCTCTGCTCTCCTCCTGCTCTCCTCTCTCTGCATGTCCCTCTCTGGCCTCCTCCTGTCTGTCCGTCCTTCCCCAGCTCTCCCTGGCGCTGGGGGGCCACCCTCCAACTGCGAGGGGCTTCTGTTGCAGGACAACGCTGTCTCTGCAGAGATTCGGGCACTTCTGTCCAACTATTACAGTGACAGGTGAAGTAACTGCACCCAGCGGAAGGGCCCCGGCAGGGCTGTGCCAACAGCCCCCAGCCGCAGGGCAGAGGGCTGCTATGCCATGGAAACCTCGGGGAGGCTGGGGGGGGGAGGAGTAGACAGAAGGAGTGGATGTGTGGCTAAATGCCCTCCGGACCCTCCAACTGACCGGAAGGCTGTTTTCCCGAGTGCTTTTGTGCAGAAAGTCAGCTCTCCCGGGGGGTGGGGGGTTGTCTCTTCAGGTACCGGAAGAGAGCTCTGCCCAGGGCGCCTCTAACGGAGCCCCCTCCCCTTTCCTGCAGCTATTGAGCCGGCCGATGACATCGAGGCAGTGACCGAGATCCTGGCCCGGCGGGTGTCCAACCTGGGCGAGCCCGTGTGGCTCTCTCTCTTCGAGGACTCCTCACCCGGCATCGCTTCCAACAGCAGCCACGGATGCTCCAGCACTGACCCGTGCCCCCCGCAGCTCCCCTGGGGCCGTCCTCGCACTTTCTCGCTGGATGCCAAGCTCAGCAGGCTGAAGGGGCGTGCAGGACGCCCACCACCTTCCCCTTTGCCCAAGGCCCCTGGCCCTTCCTGCTCCAGCTCGGGGTCCTCCAGCAGCTGCAGCTCATCTCCGGACTCGGAGCGGACCCTGCAGACCCCCACCCGGCCCTGGTTTGACCCTCGCTTGTGGCTGCAGTCCCAGGTCTGAGGCTGCCGAGAGGTGAGGGTCTGCATTGTGCAGGGGCTTCGTGTCGCAGAGACTAACTGGCCTAGGCCGCACATCCCGTCACTGCCCCCAGTGAGGGGCCGACCTGGCTAGAGAAGCAGCTGGCCACGGAGGGTGGGGCAAGGCCTCCTGCCAGACGCCTCCGTTTTCAGGAGAAAAGCACCTTGCTTTCCCTCGTAAGAAACTGGAATACTTGCTGTTGAAACAGAAGAGAGGCCCAGCGCTTTCCTCGCCAGGGACAGAGTGTCCCCATTTGCCTTCAGCCGGGCCTCTTCCTGCCCCCCCCCCAGCTGCAGGGATTTGCCTGGAGGAGGAAGCGAGGTGGGCAGCCCTTCCCCCCAAACTGGTCTGTGTGGAGGCCAGCGACCTCCCTCCCTCCCTCCCTTCCTGTGAATATGCATTAAAGAGTATTGACTTGTGGTGCAGGCTTTGTCTGTGGGAGGGGGCTGGCACAGCCCTGGCGTGGGGAAGGCTCTGGCATCTGGCTCCAGCACTGGGAAGTGGGGGGGAGGTAGGAGGTTACAGCCACACTATGCAAGACACACATCTCGGGGTCCAATCTGCCCCTGAAGGCCTCCTGCGGATCTGCGACCCGACAGGACCTTCCATAAACCAGGATCTTCCGTTAAGCCAAAAAGTGGTTTATTTGCTCAGACATTGCGCGTTTATGTGATCACAGTCCCGGTAGCAGACGGACCCGGGTTCAGCCGTGTGAACGTACAGTGAGCCAGCCCGCTGCTCTGGTCTGGCTGCAGGTGGGCAGGCAGGTGCAGGTGGGGGCCGCCCTCAGGCACCTTCTCCAAGCAGGGACCCCCGGCTCTGCTGAGCGGGCAGAAGCCGGGCAGTCAGGCCGGCCACCCGTGGTTGGGCCGCTTGCCCTGCGGAAAGAAAGCAGCCATGAGCTGACTGGCCGGAGGACTGGAGGTGGGGTGCCCCCAGGTGTGAGCTGACTGGAAGGAAGGGAGGGCTGTTGTGAGAAAGGGACACACTCACTCCGCCACACACTAGAGCCAGAGGCAGCCTCCACCTTTGCGGGGAGCTTCTGGGTCTGCCCCACTCTCACCCCACCCTGCCTTGAGGGTATGTTGTTGGAATCAGTGGGAGGGAAACTCCTGCGTGAATCCCATGAGGAGGGGCTTAAAGCAGGAGATTAAAAACATCTATGTGTCAAGTCACCCACTTGCTGGGCTGGGCGTCTCTCGCCCTCTGGCCCTCTGGGCACGGCCCCAGCCTGGCCTGGAGCAGCTCCTGGGGAAGCACCTGGGAAAGGAAAGGTGGGGCAGAAGTCCGATCTTTGGGGCATCCCCCATGCCTGCCCCTCCCCATCCCCGAAGCAGGCAGGGACGTTTCCTTGGCTGCAGGTCAAGCCAAACAATTCATAGCGATGCAAGCAGAAGGGAGACTGCCAACAAAACCTGGGACTCTCAGCTTGCAAGCCATCTCCCCCCCCTCAACCCCCCCACTGTTCAAGGAGGCAGGGTCCCAACAGGAGGTGCCTGACAGAGGGTCCCAAAGCTCAAGCAGCCCCCCCCCAATTCTGGCTGTTTACACAATCCTGCAGTGCCTGAATCTCAACCAAGTAAGCCAAAGCAGCCCCCCCACCACCACGTGGCTGCTGCCCTTCTCATTCCCCCCCCCTTGAGCAAGACTTGGGGCTTACCTTTCTTGGGGGCTGTCTCCCCTAGACCAGCCCTTGGGGGAGAATTCGCTGTGGGGCTGGGCAGCTCCTCCCAGTCCATTGCCCTTCCATTGGTGCCCTGGGCTGGGCCGGGGGACATTTGCCCCTCTGGGGCATGGCTGGGGGGCAGAGATTCCTCCACAGGGGGGGAGCAGGGCCCCAGAGGAGTCAAAAGGGGTCCCTCCTCTCCCAGAGAGTGTTCAGATTCAGGGGAGGGGGCCAGGTGGGGAGGCTGGGGCGGTGAGACAGGTTCAGGAGGGGTGCTGTTCAAAGCACAGGAAGGGGCTGGGGGTAGCAGGCAGGGAGGGGCGCATGGTGGTGGCACTGCCTCTGCTTCCCAGTGACCAGGCAGAGTGCTGGTGGGGGGCGAGGCTGGGTGGGGGACCCTGCTGGGCTTGGGGCCGATGGGGGGAGCCGCTGAAGCCTGGAAGCTGCCCGGGACGTTCGGCTGTGGGGGGCGGCGAAAGATGTAAGCGGATTCCGTGAGGCTGCGCTGGTGGCGGAGGAAAGGGCGCCGCGGCACTCCTGTCCGGGCAATGTGGAGGGGGGGGAGAGAAGATGCGTCAGCAAAGCCAGCCTAAACACACACACACACACAGTGCACAATGCACAGGCCAAAGTCACCTGGAGTTGTGAGGGTTCAGGAGTCGCCACGCCCTGAATTACTCAGACGTCAATGAATGTTGGGGGGGGGAGACAGAATCCTCCCCATTCCCTACTCCACGAAGTAGTTGCCCCCAGCCCCGGGGTGGGATGGGATGGTGAGGGCAGGCCTGGCCAGGGTGCTCACCTGGCCCCGGTTCTCCCGAGGTGGAGGAGTGCCGTCGCTCCCTCGCCTGGAGGAAGCCCCTGGGTGGCTGCTGCGAGCCTGGCCCTGCTGCCTCCTGTGCCCAGGAGAAAAGCCATGAGGGGCCCCACATGCCTCTAACACCCCCCCCGCTTTCTCTCACCCCCCCAGCAGAGGAAGACCCCCTGTAGATCCCAGAGGCAGGCAGTGGCTCTGCTTCCAGAGGGAGGGGAGAGGCTTCGGGCAGGCTCGGGGTCGTATGGAAGCATTTCCAGGGAAAAGAGCCCCTCCCCAGCAGCCCTACAGCCAGAGCCCTCCCCCGTCCACATGGGGGTTCTGCTTGGCCACAGGCCCCCTCCATTGAGCCACCAAGCGTGTCCCCCAGCCCTCTGGCGCCCTGGCACCTCAAACCGAGGCATCCTTGCCAGCCGCCCCCTGGCTGCCGTCTTCTCACCGGGTCCGTCTCACTGGCCTGGCTCTGAGGACTCGTCCCGGCCAGGGCCCTTGCTTGCTCCTTCTGCCAATGGGGAGGAGAGGAGAGAAAAGGAACGCTCAGAGCCAGGATGACCTCGGTGTTGCTGGGCAGGCATCAGTTCAACAGGTGGAGAAGAGTCACTTGCCGGACGTCCGCCTGCCAAACCTCCTTCAGTCGAGCAGATGGGACTCCCGCAGTTCCCTTTCCGCCTCCCATGATCTGCCAATGGCCCCCACCCCACTTGTCCCCAGAGGTGGAGGAGGGGGTCACGTGGCCAGTGCAGGGTGCTCACCCGTCGGGCTTCTTCCCACCGGTGCTCTTCTGCTTCCCGCTGGGCCTGCTGCTGCCTGTGGGGGGGGGCAGAGCCTCTCATGGGGGGCTGATCTGCCACTCAGCCTACAGCTCCCCAGTGGATCGGGAGGCGGGAGGGGGGGGACGTGGCTGATCCTGAGGAGCGGGGGCCCAGTGCAGCTCGGGGGGGCCCAGGGTCAGTGGGGCCGCCTCACCAAGTGTCCAGCCACCCTGCCCTGTCAGCAGCCACCGAGCTTCCAGCAGGCACCCCGCTGGGCACGGGCTGCCCAGGCTCCCTGAGAAGGTGGGGCGCATTCCCAGGAAGTCCAAGGGGAGGTGGGAGCCCCCCAACTCTGAGGCCTGTTCTGGGCAGGTCCTTCCCCTTTGTTTGGCGAAGCAGACCCTCTTGTGGGGAAGGGGGGAGGGCTGCAGGCCCCTCTTCTGCCACCCTTGAGGATGCTGCAGTTTATGACTACAATGGCCTTAGCTGGTCTGCTGCCCTGGAGCTGGCAGCTAATTCAGCAAAGAAAGGGAAAGGGAAAAGAAAGGAGAAAGGAAAGGAAAGAGCCCCCCTCCCCCAATCAGGACGGCCAAGCTCTGGGACAGTCCAAGCCATCCTCCCCAATGCCCCCCCCATCAGACTGGCTCTCATCCCACAAGGATCCTTCCAGGCAGAGGACCCCTGGGGGGGGGCATGGCCACAGTGGGGAGGCGAGGGGGCCGTTTCTCCCTGGGCAGTGGGAGGAAGACGGGGGGGGGGTCGCCCTCTGGGGCAAGTCCAGAGTGGCTGGAGGTGCTCAGAAAAGGAGGCTGGGCACTTCCCTAGAAGTGTGTCTCAAGCTCGGCGTCTTAAACTCTGGATTCCAACTCCCAGAATTCCCCAGGAAGTCCTGGCCTCGTCCAGCTGCCACGCTGGGGAAAGGCCAGGAGACGATTTCTGCCCAAGGAGCAGCCTCGGTTTAAGGTTCGGGGCCTTAGTCGCCAGGCAAAGGGGCTGTGGGCACAGGGCAGCCGGGGAAACGGGGCGTGGCGGTCCCTGGTGCGAGGCCCGCCCACCTACCTCTGCTCCTGCACGAGCCTCTCCCTCTCTTGCACCCGGCGCTCCCGCTCGGCTGCTTCCCGCCGCTCCTCCTCCATGCGCCGGTGCTCCCAGCGCCTCTTCTCCTCCTGGGCTCTCCTCCTCTCCTCCTGGCGCCGCTCCTCCTCTTCCCTCTGGAGGGCGGCAGAGAGGGAGGCTGGCATCCCCCCTCCCCCCCCGCGGCCCTGCAGCCCCCGGGCAGCCCAGCAGCCCCCCCTCACCTCCGCCTGTGCCCAGAAGGAGCTCCTCTTGGTGTGCAGGATCTCCAGGGCGGGGTTCGTCTTCCGGTAGTTTGTCCCCTGAGGGCAGACCAAGGGGGTCCCTGAAGGCTGCCTCTCTCTCACCTGGGGAGGGGACATCCCTCAGGTGCCCCCCAGGTGCAGAAAGGCAAATGGGCAAGGTGCCCTCCAGGCAGGCAGCTGGGAGGGGCCGCAGGGGACCCCTCCTCTCCTGTGCCAGAGCAGGGGGGCACTGAGGGAGGGGGCCCTCCAGGCAACCCAGCCTCACCCCCCCTTCTCTGTGCGCTGGGAAGGAAAGGGGGGAGGCCGATGCCCCCTCTTGCCCTCCCCAGAGACAGCAGCTGCCTTCCCTGGAAAAGCCCCAAGGGCCCCATGGGGGCTGGGGGGGGGGCTGGCCGCAGTTGCCACTGCCGGAAGCAGAGGGGAAACCTGGCCAGTGATGAGCTGGGGTGCAAGCATTCATTCATGGGGGACCCCCGCCCCCTCTTTCCCTTCCTCCTTACCACCAGTTCCTCAGGGTCCCCACTCGGAACCTTCTTGGGGACGGCAGCTTCCGGGGGGGGCTGTTCTGGCGGGGCCACCAGGGACAGCTGGCGGGTCAGCCCTTCCTGGGTCACCTCCTCCACCCGGCTGGCCTTCAGCACCCGGTGGGCTTCCTGCAGAGGGAGAGAGGAGGGGGCAGTGCAGGGATCCCCCCCAACTCCTTCGGGAAGAGCAGCTGCCCTTCCTCTCTGGGGGGAGCAGGGCCCTCCTCCCCTCCCCCCATTTCCCAAGCCTCTCCTGCCTTCTCTCACCCACAAAAGAGCCCCCCCCAACCTCCCATTTCTAGCCCAGGAGCAGCCCGGGGCCAGGGACATCGGGCTGCTCTCTGCCCAGCACCCACCTTGAAGAAGGCCCGGATGGCCGGCAGGTGCCCAGCGCAAGCTTCTTGGCGCGAGTCCAGGACTTTCTCGCCAACCTAGTGCCAAAGGGGGAGCCAGGGGGCCATCAAAGACTCCTGCAGCGGCTGCACAATTTTGGGGGGCCCTTCCGGAAGCCCCCAGCTGCAGCCTCCCGCGTCCTTTGGGCAGCGAGGGTGGGGCTGTTCCCCAGCAAGATCGGCATGGCTCTCCCGGGGACAGCCCCCCCCCAAAGGGAGCCACAAGAGAGTTGGAGATGAGGCACAGCAGCCCCCTCTGGGCATATCAAGAGTTCCTCCGTTGGGGCCTTCTGGAAAATCCCAGCTCTTTCTAGACTGAACCTCTGGAGGGACAGGGGTGGGTGGGGTGGAGGACAGCAGAGGAGAGAGGCCTTCGCTCAGATCCAGCACCCCTTCCTTCCTTGGGAGGTCACAAGGGAACACATTCTGTACGCGCTCCATACAACCGCCTCTTCCAGGGTTCTTTTAAAGACGGGAGCTGCCACCTCCAATGGCTCTTGGCCTCCCCCCTCACGAGTCTCTTGCGTTCAGGGGTCCTCCGGCCACTCGCCTCCCTGCCCTCCAGGTGCTCTGCCCACTCAGCCCCACTGTCTGGCGTTGGGCAGCCTTACAAAAGGGAGTTGCAAACTAAGGCCCTCCTGTGGCCAGCCCTTCTCGAGGGAGGGTCTCCGGCGTGAGCTCTGCTCCCCCCCTGCCGATGGCCGGCTCTCTTGGAGGCGGCCGCTTCTACTGAGTGGGGGGGGCAGGAAAAGGGGGGCTGTGCCGGGATTCACCTCCCTCTCAGGGCCACATGCAGCGTCCCGGCCAGTGTCCACTCTGTCCTGCTGCAAGGCCGGGAAGCCGGGTGGGCGTGGCTTCGTGGCCTGCAGCTCCCACAGAGGCAGTTCGTCCATTCCCCCCAAAGCAAGGCTCCCCCCCCAGTGAATAGCCTGCCTTTCTACCCCCTCAAGGGGACAAAAACCACAATGAAGGGAGCCCATTGGGAGGGCGTCCGGGAGGTCTTCCTGCCCTGGGAAGACAGAGAGGCCGAGCGCAGGTCCTGAGGCCGGAGCGATCCTGGCTTGGACCGACTGTGCCAGGCCCAGATTCAGGTCCCCCGAGAGGCATCTGGGCACCGTCTCTCTTGCTCTTTCTTCAGCTGCAAGCCACACACCCCCTCGCCCCCCCCAGCTCCCCCTCTTCCGCTCTCACCCAGTGGATCAGGACGACGCGTGGCACCCCAGTGGCGGGCTCAAACAGGCGGCACAGCCCATACATGATGCGCCCGCTTTGGAAGCGCTTGGCCAGTTCATCAGGGCCTCCTCCTGCAGGGGGAGGCTGGGTCAGGCACAGGGGCTCCCAGGCACCAAGCCCACCGAGACTCCCCCACCCCCCTGTTGTTTCCAGGAGATGCCCCCCCCCACGGCAGGGCAGGCAGACTGGGGCCCTCTCCTGCCTCCCCTGGAGGCTGATCGGACTGAGAAGGGCCCGGCTGCCCCCCCCCGTGCCATCTATGGAAGGAGGAGGGAGGGAGGGAGGTTCCTGCCTTACCCCCTGAGTCCAGCAGCTTCAGCTCGTTGGCATTTTGGTAGGCAAAGAGGGCCCTGGGTGTCGGAGAGACAGAGGGAGAGAGAGAGAGAGAGAGAGAGAGAGAGAGAGAGAGAGAGAGAGAGAGAGAGAGAGAGGGAGGGGGGGGGGGAGGGAGGGGCTGGCATTAGGAATCAGTCTGCGGGGGGAGACCCAGGCCAGGGCCCCCCATCCCTTTGCAAGAGGTCTGGCCATCTTCCTCTGGGGCCCGGAACAAGAGGATCGGGGGCAGCCCAAGCCCAGCGAGGCCTTCCCTTGGGTGCCTTGGACTGAAGGGGGGGCCCCCTCCTCCTCCCCCCCCAGCTGCCTCCTCATTTCTGGCCTCAGAAAGGCAAAGTCCGCTGCTCTGCTGGGCCTTGCATTTTGGCCTCCTTGTCCCCCAGGGCTGCCTGGCACGGCTGCTTCCCCCCACAGGCCGACTGACTGCTGCAGTGGGTGTGTTTGTCCCAGCTGCAGAGAATATCTGGGCCCAACTCCACACACACACACACACACACACACAGCCGTCCTGCATAGCTGCACCCAGTCTGGGCACCAGATGAGGCAAGGCAGGCATGCCCACGGCCCTCCCCTTTCATGGCTGGAGGAGGGGAAGGGACCCTGCGGGGGGGGGGGGGAGGAGGGAGGCCGCAGAGAGACTTCCTGCCTCCACCCGAGACAGATTCCTCCTCCGCCAGGCCCCCCCATCCTCTGAGGAGAAAGGCCCTGGGGAGCTTCGGCTGGGCCCTTGGCAGGTGGAACCCCCACCCCCCCCAGTTGCTTCCCCTTCCCCGTCTCCCCCTCTGAACAGGAGGAAGGACATCCGCTCTCAGACAATGGAGGCTGAAGGGGCGGCATGGAGGAGGGGGCGGAGGGGGGGGCCTGCCTGCAGACGTGGGGCCAAGCCCTCCACCAGCCCTTGGGAAGGAGGTGACCCCACCATGCCCCTCCCGCTGTGCTTCCAGCAGCCTCATGAGGGGAGGATGGCCCTGGGGGGAGATGGGAGGGGAAGATGGCCTTGGGGGGGAGGGAGGAGGGGGGCTGGCATCCGATGAAAACACAGCTGGCTCCTTCCTTTCCCTCTGGGGAAGCCAAGGCCACAGAGCCCCCCCCTCCCATCCCCTCTCAAATGTCTTGCAGATCCTCTGACACACACGTGTGCTAGCACCATCCCGCCTTCCTGGGGCTGGGCTTGGTTACTGAGCAGGAGTAACACGCCCAGGTGGTGCCAAGCGCCCGCCAAGGAGAGGGGCAAAGGCTGGGCCCAATGGGGGAGGGCAGCTCCTGACTCTCCTTCGCCCCATCCTCCCTCCCTGCTTCTCGCTCTGAAACAGGCCCAAACCCCACAAGCTCTGCTGACGCCTGACCCCGGCCTTGGCCTCCAGCCATGTGTGCACTCACCATGCTTGTGGAGAGAAGGGTTGTGAGCGCACACCTGCCTCTAGTGCCCTGCCAGGGGACACGCAGAAGACCCCAGGAGCTGCACTGCTCTCCTTTTCCTGCCAAAGGTTTGGCTTCAGCAGCCTGGATGGCAGGACCCCGGCAGGATCAGCCCCCTGGAGCCCCCAGGGCTGGCTTCTTTTCTCCTGCCAGCTCTCCCAGCTTCGGCTGGCTGGGCTCCTGGCAGGCCCTTAGAGAGCAGAGAGGGGGAAAGCTGCGGAAGAGGAGCCTTCCAGGATGGGGCCCAGGGAGTGGAGGCTTCTGCCTCCTCCTCCTCCTGCTGCTGCTGCTGGGAACCCACATCTGGCCCTCAAAGCTGCAGGGCTGGCAGGCCCCGTTCCTGCACCCAGAGCTTCCTGGTAGAGCTTCGCTCCTGCATCTGGCACCCTGGGGCAATAGGACGGGCAAAAGGGCTCAGCGCGGAGCTGAGCTGCCCTCTCTCTCACACGGAGGCTGGTGGGGAAAGAGGCATGGCGGGCACAGCTGTCACCCACAGACACACAGCACTTCACCGCCCCCCCCAGAAGCTCCCGGGCTCCGAGGGGGGGGAGAGGCTGGCAAAGCAGGTGGGAGGCAGCAGCACCAGCGGCGCCGTGGCCCTTGCTGAAGGGCGCCTCCTGCAGCCCAGCAGGGCCCTCGGGACGGCGGCGCTCGCCCCCCCGGCAGCTTCCTCGGCCGGCCGGGACTGGAAGGGGCGAGGCCGGGGGTGGGGCAGGCCGCGCTGGGCGGGACGGCCCAGGACTGCTCTTGTCCCGTCGGCGGAGGGCTCGGGAGGGCCCCGGCTCCTTCCCTTTGGACTCTCCGCCCGAGTTTTACCGGGGACCTTCCGGGGGGCGAAGCGGCTTCGGGGCCGGGCTGCCTTCCGGGGGGCAAAGAGCAGGAGCCGCTGCGGGCAACGAGGCGAGGCGACTGGGGAGAGGCCACCCGCTGCTCCCGTCCCCGGGAGACCCAGCAACTCCTCTCACTCGCCAGACACGCCACGCTCGCCACGGGGGCCAAAGCGAGAGCGGGTCGCGCTTGCCCTGCTCTCTCCGGGTCCCCGCCGGGGCTCCCCGAGATCCGGCCCCGCAGAGACCACCACCGGGCGCCTGCCCACCCGGCCGGGAGAGGAGTCCGCGCCCCGGAGCCCTCGGCACTGGCCGCCCGGGAAGGGCAGCGGCGCCACTCACCAGCTGGCGGCCGCTCGGCCGTTCACCACGTCGCTCTTGGCGGCCAGCAGCGCCAGGCTGTGCTTGTCCAGGTCCACGGCGGTGCTGCCCATCGCGAGAACCCCGACGGCGGCGGACCGCGGCTCCGAGGTGGCGGCGGCGGCGGGCCGGGAAGAGGCGCCCCCGCCCTCCCCGCCTCCTCCTCCGCCCCCGCCCCCGCCCCAACCCACTGCGGGGAGGGACGGGGCGGGGCAGCATATCTTGGAAAGCCAAGGCCGCGCCGACTTGGGGCAGGACACCCTCCCCGCGGTGGGCTCACTGCTTTGCCCGGTGGCCTCGCAGGCGGGTCTCGAGAGGGGTCCCCTGCGGAAGGGGCCTGGTCTTGAAATTAAATCTCTGCACTCCTTGCCTCTGGCGTGGGAAATGCCCCGGACACGTCGGACGGACCTTCCTTGGCCCAGCATTGCGAGGCCCGTGAGGCCCCCTGAGCAGGGGCCAAGCTGAGGCTGGCCTTTCCCACGAGGGCAGAGCCTGGAGAGACCCCCCCCCCCGGATGAGCCCCTTTCTGGGTGTCTGTGGTTAGGAAGAGCCCCAACCGTTTGAAGGGGCAGAAGCAACCTGCTGCAAACCCTGTCATTGCCCCCCCTCCACAGCAGCCGACCCCCCCCCCCAAGCATCATCCCAGGGGCTTTGGGGGAGGGGAGCCTGGGGCGGACCTTCTCCCCAGGGGAGGGGGGAGCCTGGGGCCGACCTCGCCTGGAGTAGGACCTGCCTTTTCCTTGGCTGCAGCTTGGGGGAAGCAATGTCCCCATTCCTCCCTCTTTCCACCCTGCTGGACACCACCCTGTGGCTCCTACAGCCCCCCCTCCAAGAATCCTCCATTAGGGAAGGTTTGGGGCATTCTGCAAGCCCCCCCTCCACACACCCCCTTGGGACCGTCTCCTTGGCCCTTTGGCAGGCCTGGCCGGGAACCATCCGCCCACCTCCTTTGCCTTCGCCTTATTTGGTCAATTCAACGATCTCCCGAGCACAAAGTCCTTTTACAGCTGCAGAGGCCGGCTCCCATTCGGACACCTCGGCTCAGGCATTGTGCTGGGCGGAGGGAGCCCATCTCTGCCCTGGGCTGGAGGACAACCCGAAGGCCAGGCCCAGGTCCCCCTTGGAGGCCTGCCAGATGGGGCCTCCCTTCCTCAGGGTGCCTTTGGCAACCAGCCCCAGGCCGCCTCTGATTCCAGGACTCCCACACCGGGGACTGTGGGGACAGGAGGCTGGGGGGGGCCACTCTGGGGACAGGAGGCTGGCCCAGAGGAGATGGGAAGGAGAAGCCCCTCTAGGCTCCCTGGCATTTAAGGGGAAGCAATCCCAGAGGGTCTCCGTTGCAGAGTCTCCTTGGTGGGCCTCTTGAGGCTGCTCCTTCGGGGGGGGGAGTAAGGGGGAAAGGAACTTCTCCACGATCCCTGCTCTGTCCCACCCCCCTCTAAGGCTTCAGGCCACTGCGCTGGTCCACAGAAGCAGAGAGAGGCGACCGGAGTCCCCGGCAAACACTCTCTGCACTTCTCCCCTCCAGCCACGGTGCTCCCTCCTCTTCCCACAGCTGAGTGGGGCAAGAGAACCCCTCCAGCCTCTTCAAGGGTGCCCACCTGGGATGGCTACCTTGGTCAGAGGGAGGAGAGGTGGGGGAGGAGCAGCCAGGGGGACCACAGAACCCAACTGGCTGTCCCAGGCCAAGACCTCCTGCTCAGGGCCTTTCAGGTCAGTCCAAATCAGCTGCTTGGTCTGCAGTCATTCCTGGGTCAAATCTGCGCCCAGCGCAATTCCCTTCCTGGCCCAAAAATCAGCCCTCTGGACTCTCGCCACAGGGTCCCTGCAGACGGCCAGCGGGGGTTCTGGATGGCATGGGGGATGGTGGTCTGCAGAAGAGGGAGGGCAGAGCCCACTCCCAAAACCAGGCGGGGGTGGGGGTGCTTGGAATCTCTTTGGAGACACTTTCCGTGCCCCTCCCCCATAGCCGCAGAGGGATTCCTCCATCACTCCTGGTGTAAGCCAGTTCTGCCTCCCTTGTGGAAGTGCTGCGCAGGGCCGGTTCTCCTCCTCCTCAGCCGGGCGCAGCGCGAGATGCTGTCCTGCCCCAAATGACAGAGAAGCGGCAGCTCCCCCCATCCCCGAGGGCCGGTCAGTGGCTGTGCACCCACATTCCCCCCTCCACTCTTGGGCTGTGCTGCAGGGGAGGGGGTTGCTGTCCTGGCCCAGTCCCACGTAAGATGCCCACAGGGATCAGGCAAGGAAAACCAAATGCACGCATACAAGGTAGGTGGCACCTGGCTCAGGAGCAGTAAGTGTGAGAAAGATCTGTGTGTCCTAGTGGACAATCACGTAAATGCGAGCCAGCCCTATGCTGCAACTGCAAAAAAAGCCAATGCAATCTGGGCTGCATCAACTGAGGGATAGAATCAAGATCACATGAAGTTCTAGTACCGCTTTACAACGCCTTGGTAAGGCTACACTTGGAATCCTGCATCCAGTTTTGGTCACCACAATGTAAAAAAGATGTTGGGACTCTAGAAAGAGGGCAGAGAAGAGCAAGAAAGATGATCAGGGGCCTGGAGGCTAAAACACGAAGAACGGTTGCAGGAATTGGGTATGTCTAGTTTTATGAAGAGAAGGACGGGAGTCAAGCTATTTTCCAAGGCGCCTGAAGGCCGGACAAGAAGCAACGGATAGAAACTAATCAAGGAGAGAAGCAACTTAGAACTAAGGAGGAATTTCGTAAAAGTGAGAACAATTCATCAGTGGAAAGGAAGTTGCCTCCAGAAGCTGTGGGTGCTCCAACACTGGAGGTTTTTAAGAAGAGACTGGACAACCATTTGTCTGGAATGGTAGATGGTCTCCTGCTTGAACAGGGGATGGACTAGAAGACCTCCAAGGTCCCCTCCAATTCTGTTATTCTATTATTCTGCTAATCTCTTCTCCAAAGCACATGAAGGCAGGACAAGAAGCAACAGATGGAAACTAATCAAGGAGAAATCCAACCTGGAATTAAGGAGAAATTTCCTGAGGACAGTTAACCAGTGGAACAGCTTTGCCACCAGAAATGGTGGGCGCTCCATCACTGGAGATTTTCAAGAAGACACTGGACAGGCACTTGTCTGAAAAGGTATAGGTTCTCCTGCTTGAGCAGGGGGTTGGACTAGAAAACCTCTGAGGTCCCTTCTTGTCATTTGAATCTCCTTGCTATGGGGCAGTGTCCTATTCCCCCCCCCCCGCCTGCCAAGACCACCCAGGGCAGCAATCTCTCTGCGACAGGGCCAGCCTTCTCCTGCCCTGAACCCAGGGCCAGAGGGTTGCATGGGCCCTTCCTCCTGCCCCACCCCATCCTCATTCTCAAACTGAGCCCCTGGTGTGTACAGCTGCATTTAATTATTCCTTCTTTTTAAACTAAAATGTTTTCCTGGCATTCCATCTGCCTTCCTGTATCTTGAACCCATTATTCTGCACCCTCCATTCCGGAGAGAGAGAGAGAGAGAAACAGGTCTTGCCCGTCTTTGGTGTGACGCCTGTCCCTTCAGGTCTCTGAAGAGGGCTATCGTGTTGACCCCCACCCCCGCTGGCCCTCCCCAGCTGCCTTTCCCCACAGTCCACATTTTAGGCTCCTCCCATCCCCCCCTCCATTCCGATTCCCTATATTGCTGTGATTGGAAGATGATCCTTGATGGGTCTATCCTGGATCTGGCCTGGAACTGCATCTGCCCTTTTTACAACCCTTCCAGGCAGCCGATCCATATTTCATTTGCAATTCACTGTTATTATCCCAGTAACTTTTCCACAAGAGATATTAATAAGTCAGCTGCGCTCCTTCCTCTGTCGATTGTATCTTTTCTTGTGCCCTTTCTCCTTCTTGTCTCTCTAGTTAATCTTTTAAATCTTTTTGTATTTATGATTTTAATTGTAAGCCACCCAGAAACACTTTTCAGAGTGAGATGAAGGGCACATACATTTAATAAATCAATAAATAAACATTTGGTGAACAACTTTACATTTCTCTCCATTAAAGTTCTATGCTATTATTATGACTGCTGGCTGCACTGGCAGACGTTGAGATTCGGCATTTTTATCCACCTGCCCAAGGACCTGGGATAGAGGTGTATTTTCCGCAGGATGTCAGCTGTTTCCAGTGAAGCTGCCTTTTGCAATTGACCGACAGGGACTTTGTCAATGCCGATGAAGTTCAAGTGGTTCTCCAGAGGTTTTGGGGGGGGATTGCATGTGTGATGAAGCCAGGGGGTCTCTATTCTCTTCTGTCTTTTGGGTGATAATGTTCAGAGATTTCCCTCTCCCTAGTAGGGAAAAGAGCCACTCAAAAAGACGTGAATTAGCCTAACGAGATTTCTTCTTCACAATCCCAAGCTGACCTAGCAGCCACTGCCTGGTTTTTGAGAAGCCTCCAGACCAGCCTCTTCCTCTCGTCTGCTTGAGAATCTCCCAAGGGACCTTCAGGGCAATGGAGGGGCCTTTCTGCAAAGAACATTGTTCCACTGACTGGCCAGCATGTCCCTGGATCCGTCCCCCCCCCACCTGCCCCCTTGCTCCCTTCATCGCTTCTCAAGGCTGTCGCAAAAAGAAGATATAAAGGTTCAGCGGCCATCAGCCAGATCTGTTGGTAGCCGAGGACGAGACCTGTGGCTCTGAGCTCCTTCCAGATCAGTGCTGGGCTTGGGATCCTGCTCCTTCCCACAGCTCTTCCTGATGGCCCAGGGGAAGTCCTCTCCTGCCCTGAGATAACAGGGTTCCCAAACCATTGGTAATTGTGTGTTTTCTTTGCCCCCCCCCCCGGGCCTTCTGTCTAACCGAACGCCTGGGTTATTTTCAGCCTGTGTTTGTCCTTCTTAGCATCACCTATCCAGGGGTAGTCAACCTTGGCTCTTTTATGACTCGTGGACTTCAATTCCCAGAATTCCTGAGCCAGCTGGGAGTTGAAGTCCACGAGTCATAAAAGAGCCAAGGTTGACTACCCCTGACCTATACTATACCTTCTCCTTGGCTGGACAGCTGATGCGTGATACCAACAACCATATTGTTGTTCTTTGTGCTTCCACATACAGGGCAGTTCATTCAC